TCAAATCCTCACTTTGTGATTTATGCGATGGTTTTCTAATCATTGATGCAATCTACGAAGTTCCTTTCATTTTCAAAGATTTCATGCCCTCGAAAACCCCCGAGAGGTGCTCTTTGTTAGGTGTCCAATTTTCAGATAGAGTAGTCGGAGTATTCCAATTAGTCTAGGACTCGGCAATAAGGTTAACAATTTCGACTGATTTTGATAGGCTGAAATCAATCCTACGAGTGGTCCTGAAGAATTAATCAACCACAACTATTGCCGATTCCTCTATCCATCGAAAAATGTCACTTCGACTACTCAATCAGAAAATTCGATGCCCATCGCCCATTCGAATCAGGACGATCAACTATTCATCAGAGGACAGTCTGGGTAGTATTAGCCTGATACTAACGCTTATGACTCGTAAAAAATAGAAAAAAATAGTTCTTTTTTGCCAATTTCCATCGTTTAACGAAATCCTTTGTCTGTTTATAAGAATTATAAATGTTAGCACAAAGCGACTACTAATTCAACACTAATGCCAATCCATTAAATAAACATTTTAACTCTAACATATAAAGTATTAGTATTTTTCCAATACCAATACTAATCCGATACCCCTATTTTGTCGACATGTTTCATGATGTCATATTTTTTCTCTATAACTATATATTATTAACTTTACGTCAGAAAACATTATCTTGACAATACTATAGATATAGCAACACATGTGGACAAAATAAATATGAATAAGAATTATGATTAGTGTTTTTTTGCTGCTGTTAAATCTATAATATCTATAATGATTTTAATCAAGGAAGCTTATAACGTTGCTACTGAACATGCGAATATTTGAATTTATTTGCATTTTGAGTTTTTTATAGCGAAAACATGAACAAGTTTAAAAGTATCGTACAATAATGAACCTAACCATAGTATAAATGTAATATAATCAATACAAAATGAATTCTCTCTAGAATATATACATGTCTATTTAGTCAACATTGTCTGACAGTCTGATGTAGTCAAAGATATATAAAAACAAATCAAAACTATTCATATATATATATATATGTTTATTATTATTTCACATGGCGAACAAAGTAAGTCTAATAACTGAATTGATCCAATTGAGTTTGACCAAAGATAATTTTAGTCCACATCAGATATTATAAATTCACTGTCAATTGAAACATCAGGTCATGTAATGGTCAACACATCAAGCGACAAAGATGCAGATGAAAAGACTGACCGTGAAGATACTGTCAAAAGAAGAGCACATACTTATTTTGAATGGATTCATTTAATAGCAGCAATATGGATTCCAATTGCTATCGCTATATATGCAATCGTTGAACATAATAGTAGTATGTCAATTGCTGCTAGTAATCGTCTTAATGACATAGAAATCGCTAATATTTCGCGAATGACTGAAATTGAAATAGCACAACGCAATCT